CCGAAATCAAATATGGCCGGCTGTAAGGGGGGTGTTCACTGGGGAGCGATTGCTCTCAATTTGAACGCTCGGGCGTAACGTGCTGTTGTGCTGCGTCATTGGGGAATGTTTAGGATAACGAGCTGAGGGATTTGGAGCTGAATAGACGGGTGCGCAGGTGCATAAATGGACGCTGAGCAATGGGTTTTAAAGCGAAGACATGGTTGTTTTTCGCCTGACTGAGAGGGTTCCATCATTTTTTGAAGACACTTCTCGAAAGAAGCAAAGAGAAGAGCTAGTTGATGAAATTGGCAATTAAACAATTCATTGATTTCTGAGGAACATTTATCGTACGAAAACCTACTGTGCAATGCATTAGATATGTATGAAATGTTTGCAAATGTCATGAATAGTTTTTTTTTCCCGGACATTCTATTTCCAAAGCGCTGTCCTTTCAAGCAAATGTCAATATTTGTTTTTGCCTTCCTCTTAGATACGAGAGGAACTCTGGGAAATATGGGGGAGTAAGTAGGAGAATTCCACCAGTTTTGCACCGATTACAGCCATATTTGGGTTACTAGTATATAGTTGGCCTCAGTCAGAAGAGAAGTAACATAAAAATGCAGTGCTTAATGTTAAAGGAATGCGTATATTCGTCTCACGAATATCCTTATCACCTCCACAATTCTGACAGGTTTACTATGCCGAAATGTGTGATAAGAGATGTGATGGATGACAGCCGCCGGACGCAGTAATAATATCATCACCTCGCATGTGTGATATTTTTGGAAGAAAAGAACATTTATGAGGGGAAGTTTAAAGTAATGAGGTAATCACGAACTTCGCTTTCCAGAGTTTCATATTGGATTTTATAAGGTTGTTTAATTTGTCACATTGAAAGCATTTCTTGCGCATAATTGAAGTTTGGGACAAATCTGTGATTCTGCTATTCATAGATAGAACAAATACTCCGGCCATTCGGAATTCTGTTGCAACCTATTTTGGATATAGCCAAATCAGGTTAAAATTGAAGCTTGAAGAAGGATAAATTATTGAATGAAGGTTAGACTATTGGCTGGTAGAGATCAAATAGAAAGACCAAAAGTCCAATTCTCCGGGATTTATCCACGAGGCTGCAATAGCTGTAAATGTCAGCCACGACGGCACCAGTTGCTGCCTTTGGCGCGCTTCGCCTTGATCGCGCAAATCAGCTTCTAAAGCGCTTCGCGTATGCGCGCTACTGCGTACGACATAGCGGGTCAATCTTTGAAGAACAGAATAAACTTCATTTTGCTTAATGATGTAAAGGATGAGCAGCGGTGAAGCTTCTTAGGGTCTTATTAGATAAATTTATTGGAACATAGTTATAGATTTCAGTATATGGTGCGCATTGTGTTAACAGTGTTTCCGTAACATTTAAAACAATTATTATTTTTCAGATATTATGGCAGATATTGAAGATGGGTTTGATATACG